CACACAGCCAAGTTGTTCCAGCATCACCCCAGCACCTAAGCATCGGATAACAGCACACACAGGGGCAGTGTTGGCACTTTTTGAAAAATAACTGTGATTTGGGTTGCAGTTTGGGCCCTTGGTCTCTAAAAGGTTCCCCATCACTGAGTTACACTATAGAAATCTGGATCATGATACTTATAAAGATTTGTCCACTGTTTGAGCTGTTAACCAAATGATGTTTTGAACTTATATAATCATTCCCACTTTCATTCTCAATCTCTGTGCTTTGGGTCTTTATCAGAAAACTCAGAATTTTGAGGTATTTAGATATAGTTCTTCCAATTTTTAAAAATTGTGTTGGTTAATCTACCAATATTCGGATGTTTTCCAGGTCTTTACCTGCTATTGATTTTTAGTTTAATTCTGTTGTCATTGAGAGCATGTATGATGGTCTTTTAAATATTTTTTCAAGTACGTTTGATGGCACAGATTGTAGACTAGTTGAACAATGTTTTAATTTTTTTATTGGTACATTTTAGATACATATAATGATCACATTCATCATAGAGAATTTGTACCTGTATATGATACATCTTGATCCTTTTTTCCCATTCCCCCTACCCCCCTTCAAACCCTCTTTATTTATAAAAGATTTGTTTCCATTTTTTTTCCTTCTCTTTTTTTTCTTGACCTTTCAATTCTCCCACCCCCTTCCTTAGTTCTCCTTCCCATTTGAACATTTTCTCCCCATTTCCCAATGCTTATTATACATTTTGGTCATTATTTACACTTTCAGTTTCTCATACCAGAGAAACAATGGGGTATTTAAGCATGTGTATCTGATTTATTTCACTTAAGAGTATGGTCTCAAGGTGTATTCATTTATCTAGAAATGTCTCAAGCTTATCTTTCTTTATGGCAGAGTAGTATTCCATTGCATAAGAAAACCTCATCTTTATCCACTCATCACTCGATGGGAATTTGGGCTGTTTCCAAGATTTAGTTAGCTATTATGAATTGTGCTGCTATAAACATGGGTGTGCACATATCACTGTTTTATGATGCATTTAATTCTTTCAGGAGCATAACAAGGGAAATACCTGGGTCGAATGGAACCTCTAGTTTTAGTTTTTTGTGGCATCACCACACTGATTTCCACATGGTTGCACCAGTCTACACTCCCACCAAGAGTGGGGAAGGGCTATTTTTCCCTACAGCCCCGCTAGCATGTTATTGGTTGATTTCTTGATAATAGCCATTTTTTCTGGAATGAGGTGAAAATCTGGTTTTCATTTGCATCTCTCAAATGACCAGTGATGTTGAACATTTTTTCATATATTTGCCATTTCTACTTCTTCATCTGAGAAGTTTCTGTTCATTTCAGATGCCCATTTTTGCACTGGGTCTTTAAATTTTGGGGGTCTGAACAATGTTTTGAAAAAATATACATACTTTAAAAAGAGCATCAAAGTTAAGTACTTATTTTGGATCAGTTACAGATATGTACATACTACGTGAAGTAGGGAATTGGGTTTGGGATAAAATTTTCAGCAATCACATCAGACACAGATTTTAAAAGTACCATATCTTATTTTGAGACACAGATGACTTCAAAGTAGCTCTAGTAGTAACAAACACTGGGTTTTTAATTTGGTTTCCACAAAATGTAAGTTAGAAAACAAAAGATATATTTCTATGTGAACTTGCCACTATCTGAACCCAGAAATTAAAATAATTTGAATAGTTATTTTGAGGTAAGTCTGGGAAAAAGATAATTTATAATATCTTAAGTCAAAAGTCAAATAGATTTGGATACTAACATATGTATCTTCCTATATGATAATATCTGTGAATAACGAGAGTACTAAATGGAAGGAATTTCCTTGTCTGAAAATTGGGTATTATTTTCTATTCAGAATCACTTCATATTCAGACACACAAAGTGGTAAATTTTCTTGAAGAAATATGCACAATTGTTTTATTGGCACAGGAAGAGAGATTTATAAAATTCTTTATGTGGTATGATCTCTCCTATGTTTAAAAAATGCCTAGTAAAAAGGCTAGAAAGAAATGTACCTAATGTAGCCAGGATTAAGTATTTTTGTATATCTATAATATCATTTTCATATGCAAATTTTCCAAACCTTCCTTTCATTGGTAGTCAGAAAAACATATCTAGTTAAGTTTAATACAATATAAATACTACAGAAGTATAAGAAAAGTTGAACATTGGAAGCAAAAAGTATCGATTCTTTTGAGAAGTTCAAGAAGAGACAATGGTTCAAATATAGTCGAACAGAGCAATTGTTTATCAGAAAGAGGATATATTGCATTTGCAACTGCCAAAAAGTAAAATTAAACATGCATCACATTAGGAGAAAGTAAAATAGTTCCATGTGACTACAATACAAGCTTCAAAATAGTGAGCAGAACAAGAAGAATGAATCTATATACACATGTTGGTGCCAGATGTCATACTAACAAGCTTTTAGAATGCAAACAATCTAAAGCTAGTCATCCTGGCCTAAGTCATTTTAATGTTTAATTTTTACACTAAGTAAATTCTGACTTAGTAATAATTCTATTTGGATATAAAACCAAATTAAGTTTTCTACTTTAAAACTAACTCAGAGAAAAGGACTTATGACTATGACAGAATAAAGGTTGCTAAATCTCATCCTCAAAAAACAACTGGACAAAATCATCAAAAACAATCATTCCAGAGCTTAAAGGCAAGTAAGTTGAAAAATGTTTGTTTTTGAAAACCAGCTGAATACAGGTTAAGAACAGTGGAGCCCTGTGATTTCATGGCCTGGAGCTGCTGTCCTCACCCTCATACTCTGCTCACCTGGATGCAAATTCTTCCTGGTCAGGGCTGGCTGTGGAAAATAGCTTCTCTGCAGGGCTGTGGGTGGGGGACTAACTTAATGCAGAACAAAGAATGAAATCCTACATAACACTATCAGTGAAAGTAGGAAACTTGGTAGAAACAAGCAGGGAGTGTCACCAGCTATGACAGTCTAAAGTTGCTATGGTACATGTGGTTGGCTGAGATGTAGAATGAAGGTCTAGTTAAAAACTAGAAAGATCCTGGAATGTGTGCAGCCCTGGCTATGTGAACGTGCAGGGGGAGACTCTAGAGGGTCTGGCTCAAAGCAAGTGAGGCTGATTTGAAAACTGCAAGAATTTTAAATGTGCTCCTCAATCAACACACACATGGACAGATAGGGCTTGTAAGTTTTATTTACTAGAAGTTTTTGAACCCAAGGGTACTCGAACCCTCAGCTACCTCAGGCCCTTTTTTCTTTTTTTTCATAAACAAGGTCTTGCTTGGTTTCTCAGGCTGGTCTCAAATTTGTGATCCTCATGCCTGAGCTTCCCAAATAGCTGGGATCACAGGACTGTACTACCCTGACACACCGAATGCAATTCTTTTTTTTGTTTTGTTTTGGGGATCAAACTCAGGACCTGTGCCGCTGAGCTACATCCCCAGCCCACGGAGTACAATCTTTGACCTCCTGTTTTTGACACTGAGTTGTGCAAGGTGCAATCCTACAAAGAGGTCTAAAAAAATCAATTAAAAAAAAAATATCTAAACCTAAAAAACCAACAGATATCAAGTATATATAAATACAAAGGAGACGGAGTCCATACATTAATTCTAGATAAATTACTAAAACTCTCCTGCCCCAAGCCCTTAGGAGAAAATCCAGGAAGAGTGTTAGTACACTGTATTATCAACAAAGTTCAGTTTGCAACAAGAAATTATGAGACATACAAAGAAAAACAGAAAAGCATGGCCCATGTTGAGGACAAAAGAGCAGTAAACAGAAGTTTACTCTTAGTAAGCCTAAAAGTTGGATTTAACAGATGAAAACTTCAAAGCAGTGATTATAATGTTAAGCTGGGGGCTACAGTCCTTGCATATAGTCCCAGCTACTTGCAAAGCTGAGTCGGATGACTACCTGAGCCCAGAAGTTCAAGGCCAGTCTAAATAACTACATTTAAAGAATTAAAGGAAAGTATGACAACAATAACTGCATGAATTTCAATAATGAATAGACTATAAAAAAGAACCATGTGAAATTCTAGAGTTGATACTGTCCATATTAACTCATTTTTGATAGAAATATAACTGATTACCTGTACTGACCAACACTTTAAAAATATTTCAAGATGTCTATAACATCTGAGCTATGGATATTTAATAAGTTATTATGTTTTATGAACTCTGTAGTAATCTCTGAATAAAGATACAGATGCCTTATCATTCCTTGTTGAAATAATCAAAGATACGTTAATTCATTTTTAAAAGGAATTGCTGAAAACTAGATAATATCAACATGTATTAAATCAAAGTAACAAGGAAATACCATATTGATACCTAAAGCTGTGAAACTATTTAAGAGTTTAATTTTACTTTCATGGTTAATTTTCAGCATCTTTCAAGAACTTTTCTAGAATTGCCTTTCTCATTTTTCAGGCAACTGATTAAATATTACTTGATACCAAAAATTCACTTAGGCACTAAAATATATAAATAATTTTAACACTATAATTACTTAACAAAATTTGTGCCCATTTAAATACACTACTAGCGGGAAGATTTTCAGATCAACAATAAAATAATGATAGTTACTATTAATAATTTTTCAATATTTTTCCTTATTTGTAATTTCTTAGTGGATAGCTACTTTAAACAGTTTAACTGCATTTTACTATTTTGATTCTTTGTATTATCATAAGCATTATTATTATAATAACATATAATGTATATTCTTTCTCATTTTTAATGAGGACAACACATGCTATATAGAACCACTAACTTTCCAAACATTTCTTAAAATTTTGTCCTAATTTTCTACCTAAAAGTATAAACTTGTATTCATCACCCTAACATATAACCAGAGGAGAAAATAAACTGCTCACTATTGGGTATAAACCATTATATCATTTTACATTAATACAGCTACTTAGGATAATGTTAATTGAAGCAAAAAAAAAAAAAGTATACTTACTCAGCTATAAATTCAGGGTTTGTAAAGTTGAGGTTGGTTAAATGTCCTTCAAGTTTAGAAGACTCGTGCGTGTTTAAGGCTGCAGTGGTCTTATTGGTGAGTATAGCTCTTTTTTCATCTTTTTCAAGCGCTTTTCTCTTTCCACCATTTTGGAAATATTCTCTACATACACTGAAAGTCAAAATAAAGTTATATTTTAAAATACTGGATATGACTTAAAATAAAATGAAAAATATTAGCCTTTGTTAAGATGGGAAACTTTCAGTTAATCCCATTTTTGCTCTTTACTTTTTTTTTTTTTTTTTTGGTACCGGGGGATGGAGCTCAGGTCCTCGCACTTGCACAGCAGGCGGCGAAACCACTGAGCTAAATCCCCAGCATGTTAATCCCATTTTTAAAATGTCAAACACAGGCAAGTTTGAGCAACTTTTAAGTACTTAAAATTGTTAAAATTACTATACAACAGAGTGATCATCAAATATGCTTAATAAGTAAAAATGTTTTTCAGGAACATAAATGTATCTGTGTACATTTTACTTAATTTTAACTAAAATATAAGTTCTCTAGCAAAGATTAGATAATCGCTATTCAGTGACAGTATCTAGAAACAATGTACTGGTAGTCAAGAGTTAATTTTGAGCCAGCTTTGCTCGTAGTAGATAATCTAATAGTTGTTTTGCGGTCCCTCTTGGTTTATGAAAGCAAAATCAAGTTGCTAATACATTAAAAGATTATGTTTTCTTTTATCTGCTTTAAGAGAAGACACAAGAAAACCTAGTTCAGGTAACAATGGTATCATACTGTGTTAGAAAAACCAAATTGTTTTTCTTCTCTCACACGACAACAACCAACATAAAAGACTTCTGTGACCTCAAAAGGTGGGGATTTCTCCACACCAAAAAGTAAGCAATTAATTCTGGAGAGGATATCAGTTCGGCATCCTCTAACACAATTCTGTTCTGACACTATTTAACGTGAGAGGCTCGGTCACACACTTAAGCAGACCTCACAAGATAAAGACGTAGTCCTCCCACCCACTGAAGATGCCAATCACCAGTTCCCAGTTGTTTTATTTGTGCTTCTGATTAATTGGCTATGAAGAGGGTTCCCACAACCCCCTCTTCTGGTTTAATTTGCTCAAATGGCTCAGAAAACTCAGGGAAACACTTATATTTACTGTTTTATTATAAAGGATATTACAAAGGACACCGATAAAAGAGATGCACAGGGTGAGGTATGTAGGAAGGAGTAGGGAGCTCCCATGTCCTCTCCAAGTATGCCACCCTCCAGGAAGCTCTACTTGTTCTGGAAGCACTCTGAGTCTTCCTTGACAGAATCAACTCAAACATTTATTAACTACTGAAGCCAAGAAACTTAAAGTAATGACAAATGAGACTGTGCTCTGGTTCTTTTGCTTACAATCTGACAAAAGATACACACTTTAAAACTTATCAAAGCTACTTAAAGAATAGAATCTGAACAAATTTTATTTCTCCGTAGAGTCTTAAAATACACAACATTCTAGTACTGTACATAGCTTATACTTCACAACAAAGCTAAATTACTTTTCTCCACAGACATTGCTTTGTGAAGTTCCAGAAACACAGGGCAAAGATAGTAAGAATTCAAGTCATTTAATTTGTTAGAGCAAGCAGAAATATGGTTTGAGGGAAACAATGTTTCTCTCACATATACACAGATGCTATTAGTTCAATTTCATTTTTAAAATTCCCATTAACTTATCCCATGTAGATTTAGTTTTAATTATATACAAGAGCTGAAACACATTCATCATTAATCAAATATTTATTAAGCACCTATGGAAGAATATATATGATGGCAAAACAACCCTCAAGAAGCTCTGGCTTGTGAAGGGCCCAGGGAATTATATAAATGAACAAAATACAACTAAGAAAAACAAAGATATACATACATGTATGTTATATTATTTATAAATGAAATATCTAATCCAATCTAAAATCAATAAAATAAACTGATTTTAGAAAGGAGAAATGACTCAGACAAGGAGACTATTAGTTAAGGAGGGAAATGCTTTCCAGGCAGAGAAGATACCGTAAACAAAGTCATGGAAGCAGAAATCAGAATGGATCCTGTAGAAATGTACCTCAGTTCAAGGCATGTGACATACTACCAGGCAGAAGGAGATGGTTGAATGGACTCACAAATGAAAAGTCCTTGAGACTGGCACACATATAAAAAGGAATGGTAGCCCAATAACATTGGAAAGGTAAACAAGCTTTAAATCATGCAAGAATCACAGGCCAATCTAAAAATGTGGCCTTTACACATTTAATCTCATGTGAGGATGCAGTTTAGCAGTTGCCTGAGATGAGGTGGTAGAGTTGACTTGAAAGAGAACTTTTTGGAGTAACAGAAATATTATACATCTTAATAGTGGTAGTAAATAAGTATAAATAATTAAAAATAATCCGCTGAACTGTATACTAGAATAGGTCCATGTCATTGTATGCAAATTATACTTCAATAAAGTTAACAAAAATGTAGTTTTTATCAACTTGGAATTAACACTAAAATGTCTCTATCATACAGCGTTTCACTAAGGCATGAAACACAAGAATAAAAAGCTTGCTTATCTTTCCATTAGTTAGAACGAGATGAAGCTGCTGATATTCAACAGTTCTTGAACCATATGGTGCAATTTTAGGTGGTTCAACCTGATAGTTACACCAAGACATTCAGCAATAAAATACATAAAGATGTAGAATTCCTGGTTTTCAGAGAATAGCAGCCAACTTAATTTCAATCTCACCACATACCCTTTGAAAACACACAGATCACTGCAGAGAGCAAATAAAAGCACTCATAGTTAATGCCTATGATGTATGCAGGAAATAGAGAATAACACTTCATTCTACATGGAATCAGGAAAATCAAATCTGAGGGCAACTAGGTAGGCTTTGGAACAAACCCCAAGTAGAGTTAGATGAAGACTGTTTAAAACAGAGAAATATGATGGAGGTGGCAAAATCATTTAACACCAACTGAGGCTATGCCCAAGACAGGGTCCAACTCTTAGTGGAAAAATTCTAAGGAAAGATTTGGGACTTACTAAATCAAAGCACTTTCCAGGAAGTTCAAAGGAAAGAATTCTGGAAAGGATTGTTAGCAAAAGTGAGAATCTTGATAAAAATGCTGGGGGTGAGAATGCACCTTTAAAAAAGGAAGTACATATGAAGGGAAAGAAGGAAGCAATTAAGAATCCTACTGAGATGTGTGTGTATAAGACCAAATGAACATTTATTAAATGTATATATAGGTTTTTGGAAATTATAAAACATAATAAGGCACCCAACCCCACATCTGTGCACCTACAGAAACTCTAACACAAACAATACAATACAAAAAGTACCTAAAAGATTTAAATACCTAATAAGCCCAGCACGACCACTTTTCAGTGAACAAAAATCTCAAAATGTCTCCCTCTCCCTCTCCCTCCCCCACCCTCTCTCCCCAAATATAATCATAAAGGAGGAGATTGGGATTTAACAACCAAATATTAATTATATACGAGTTAAGTAGGCAATATAGATATAAAAGAACATTTTACATCTGAAATCAGATACAAACAAGAACCAAACAAATGGAACACATTTCATGTTCACAGAAAATTAAACTAAATATTCCTAAATATCAAATTCTCTTCAACTTAGTGTCTAGATTCAATACAATCCTAATCAAAATCTCAGCAAGTTATTTTGTGGATATACAAAAATTCTAAAATTTATACGATGTATTTGTCAGGATTCTTCAGACATTTGTCAGAGAAACACTGGACATATTAATAGAGCTCTTGATACATACATATATACATACATATATATCCAGGGAGAGAGATACTGAATACATATAGATATTTAGAAATAAATTTATTATAAGGAAATAACTCCTGTAATTATGGAGTCTTAGATGTCCCATAATCTGTTGTTTATAAGCTGGAGAACCAGAAATAGCTAGTAGTATAGTCCTAGTTCAAGTCAAAAGCCTGAAAGCCAATTATATACGTCCTAGCCCAAATCTGAAGGCCTAACAACCAAGAATGCCAATAGGGTTAAGTCCCAGTCTGACAGCAAAAGAAGACTGAGGATGTCTCAGTTCAAGCAGGCAGAGAGATGAAGGGAGGAAAAAGTGATGGGAGCAGGGGTCCTTTCTTCACATTTTTGGGGTAAGGGTATCTTTCCTTCATACTTTTGTTCTATTGTGGACTTCAATGGGTTGGACATATAAAGCTCATCTTGGGGAGGGTCATCTGCTTTACTCAGTCTACCAATTCAAATGTGAATGTCATCTCAAACATCCTCAGAGACGCATCTAGCAATAATGTTTAGCCAACTACCTGGGCCCCCAAGATCAGTCAAGCTGTGAATAATACTCTGTAACACATAAAGAGCTCAAGAGGCAAAAAAGATTGAGAATAGTCAACACAATATTAAAGATAAGTTGGAGAACACTACAGACCTCAAGACTTACTATATAGCTACAGCAGTCAGACAGTATGACAATGGCAAAAAATAGACAAATCAATGAAACAGTATAGAGAGCCTGGAAAGACACCCACAAAATTTATAATCAACTGAATTTTGACAGAAAAGAAAAGGCAATATAATGGAGAAAAAAATACTCTTTTCAGTAGTTATGGTGGAACAAACTGGGCATTCACACTGAAAAAAAATGAATCCAGACGGGTGTGGTGGCACACACTTGCAATCCCAGCACTCAAGAGGCTGAAGCAAAAGAATCCCTGTGAATTCAAGGCCGTCCTGGGCTACATACTGAGTTCAAGGCCAGCCTGAACTACATAGTGAGATGGTATCTCAAACCACCAAAAGGGGGCGGGGGGTATAGGCACAATCCATGAAAGAAAGAATTGATGAACTACAAAACTATAATAAAATTAAATTTTTCTGCCATGTGAAAGACACCATCAGAATGAAGTGATAAGCCACGGACAACAAAACAATATTTGCAAAAGGCAATACAGGACTAAGGAATATTATCTAAAATACAAAAAGAACTCATAAAGGTCAAAAAATGGACAAAAGACCTGAATATAAACCTACCCAAAGGAAACATAGATTCAAATAAGCATTAAGATATTCCGTATCATATGTCATTAGAAAAAGCAAATTAAA